CCTCCTGAGGGAAACCATCTCAAACTACACTTCATTGCTCATCATGAATTAAGAAATCAAAGCAATAGCAAGATGTAGCCAGGCCAAGTTTTTCATGAGTGTCAAAGGATGACTAGCCAGCCTACCTACAAGTGCTGAATCAGTGGAACTAGCAATATCAAATAGTTCAATAACCTGGCTTGGCAGATGATGAATTCTATCATTGGGAGAGCGCCTGATATAAGTTTGATCGAGTGGGGAATTTCTCTTTGGTTTTTGAACTAATGGTAAGAAAAATCATATGTCTATATAAGCATCAGCAATTGGGTCTTATGTAGGAATTGAAGGATCTCATTTTGAGACACCTTCATCCTACGTACTCGAATTTTAGGGAGGGAGCAGAGGCACTTTTTTAGTAGGATAACGTCTTTCACCATGGAAAAATGCGGAGACTTAACATCTTTGGCTTCATGGTTGTCCTCTAAAATAATGGGTGTTAGAGCAAAATGCTCTGGTGTTGTGAGTATTACATCTAATGGCCATTCAACAATTTTTATAAGTCCTTTAATAACGGGATTGTCTTTCTCACAAAAGCGTGAACTTATTACATGATAGAAGATTTGCGGTGGTAGTACAGAAAAGTTTAACACACACACGCACAACAAATGAAGTGACAGGTGGGGAGAGCAAAAGTTTTGCGTAAAAACCCTAAGAAAGGAAATAACCACAAGGCCTAGCCAGTCAAAACAATCCACTTTAAGTTAATGAGTACATGTACAAGCCCTTATCTCATAGGTGGATAAGTGTTACACAGTTCCTGAAAGTGCAATGGTTGCATGTAGAAGGAATTGGTGTACAACGGTTAGGAGATATTGTAGCTATATAGTACTTGTCAAGATTTCAATGCACCTTCTTTGAGGTGCATCGACGAATAGTGCTTAGGATGATAAACTTCTCCGTAGGATGCCTCATTACTCCGCGACATTGGTTTTTACTTCACACGATGCTTCGTTGCTCCACGAGAGGCTTAATTCCAATGAATGAGGGGTAGCCAATGGTGGTCAGAAAGATGTGGTCAGTGATTGCATGAACGAGAATTATTCGTCGGGTCATCGGTCAAAAACAGCACATGAATTCAACTCCATCTCGAACCAACTCCTAGTCTAACTCTTCCTCCGGTTCAAAGTCTAGGTCCTCCTTCTTGAAGTGGGAGTCTAAGAATGACCTCCCTGCAAATAAAAAAAAAAATCTGAACCACATCATTAGACAGCATAGAAAGATTTCCCTCATCAGAAGGCATTTGTGGACATTTAAGTGCCTTAACAATGTCAGAATTTAGTGATTTTAAGCTCATTGGATTTGAATTATTGAGACACTCTATTTGACTTTTAGCTTGTTAGATGTGGAATCCAATTAACCACCTAAAGCCTTCAAAAGTAGTTTAACGACTTAATTAGGGCTTGATTAGACTTTGACTGTGTCAATTATGCTGTCATTGGTTTCTGGTCAAGTCGGCCAATTTGAGAATAAGTTTGTTGAAATTAATAGATATTAATCATTTTTAATTTGGGTTTGAATATTTTTTGTCAAAAAAAATGCCTTGGGGTTCATGTTTTATGATGAAAATTTGTTAACGACGTATCAAAGCTAAATATAAAGAATACTTTATGACATGCTAAAATTAAAATAATGAAATTATGGATCCGATTCACAATTAAAATATAATATACTAATACATGTAAGAGTTGCAATGGATGAATGAGAAATTAAAATAGACTAAACAATAATAAATAAATAAATAGAAGTGCAACGCTGTTGGGAAAAAGAGTGGCGAAACATATGATAAAAGAAATGGTATAGAAATATCATGGAAGTTTTTTTTTTTCTTTACCTTTACCTTGAAGATGTAAGAGCGGATGTAAGAGCGGGGATCTTGGGATATATGAAAACGATGAGGCTCTTTTTTCACTTATTGACCATATTATTTTCTCGTCTTTCTTTTAAATAACATACAAATTTTACTTGGGCTATCACAATTCTAGAAATAAACGAAATGTGAATAATGCATATTTCAAAATGTAGCGTGAAGGCATTTACATGCATACCACACATTTTTTATATTTTTTCATCTCTTAACATCTAAACATTCTATTTACATATACCACTCAAACCTTTGACATCATATTAAAAATAAATTCACTATTTAAAGGTGAAATACACCTTTCCAAACATAGATGTTTAACATCAAATATAAATATCAAACTTTAGGTGTTAAATATGAAAATACACAATAATTGTGTGGTACTTATGTAAATTGCCTTTCTCTTAAGTAATGGGGCCGTATATAATATTAATCAGATAAATTAAGAAGACAAAATAAATTGATATATCAGTTATTTAGTCCTTGTCTGCTAATTATGAACCCTCTATATTCTAATTATTTTTTCCAATTTTACAAAGTCAATTTATTTCAACTGATGTTTCAGATGTCAGAATTATGTCATTTAACAAAAAGCATAAATAGCAATATCTCATTTTGAATATCATTAATGAATATTTTCATAAATTATAAAAAAAAAGATGCACTCATTGTTAATCCCTGATATACCCTAAAGCTCTTTCTCCACTCCCAAAAAAATCAAAATATCATTGAATGCTCAACCATTCACATCATTAATAACTTGATCTGTTCATTCAAAGTCCTCAAACTTTATCAGCAACTAGCACCCAAATGCCTAATTTCTAAATATTATACATCAATAATTTGATAAATTATGATAACTTATATACGGGATGAATAATTAGATGCAAGAAACAGATTAATGGGATCCTGATTTGGTTATAAATCCAATTAGAAATTATAGTAATTTGTTTTGGGAAAAAAAACTCTGCAATTCTCTCTTTATTAGGTTGTAAACAATATCATCTAAATTAAAAGTTATTAGTCTCAGACACAATAATTACTTTCCAAAGATGCCCATCTTCTTTCAGATCAAGGATACTGATATATGATTGCGCATATCAATATTCAGAGACAGGATAATAATTACTACAACTAGAAACCCATTTGGAATCATTTTTATTTTTCATTTTTACTTTTATTTTGATTGGAAAAAATATATATTTGATGATAATAATCTTTTTTAAAAATATTGAACATACCCAAAAAGTGATTTATTTGAAATAAATAAAAGATAAAAAACATGTACAAAACATATAAAAAAACTAAAAATAGAACTAAAAATTAAAGAAAATGAAGTTAATCACCCAAACCCAATCTAATTCTAATTATGAAGTTAATTACAAAACATATAAGAGTATATGCTGACCTTCAAAATTACTATAATTTGAAAAGATTATATAATTAATGCCACTTCCTAAAAAAATAATAAATAAATAAAAACAGATGGTGACATGCTCGTATTTTGTTGAGAATTCTACTTCCTTCCACTTAAATAATCTGGCAGGCTCGCATTACGATTCACATCACGTCTTATAGGGATCATCTATGACGATTTATGGCGATGTCCGGACGACAAATGCAATATTTCAGGTCCAAATGTCTAATTGGCATCCTATTGAGAACCGGTCTGCTTTTCGATCATGGTCGGCAAGATCTAATTGGCGTCTTATTAAGAACCGGTCTGCTAATTCGACTAGTCGGCAATAGAGTATATTTATATTGTAAATAACTTGTGAATTTAATGGAATAGCAAAAAATCTTATGATATAAGACTGAGTAATTCATACATCTTCTAAAAAAACAAAGGAAATAACAATATATTTATGACAATTGGAGGAAAATAAATATTTTTTAAGAGGAATGACAATAGCAAATTTGATTTGATCAAATATGAAATTTAATGTCGAATACTGTCAATAAATAAAAAACTAAAAAACTAAAAAAAGAAGAAAATCTATTCAATCTAAAACGAATATTGATGCAGCTTTAAATTTATAAATTTTTCATAAATAAATTTAAAATCATATGAAATTTTAGCAAATTTATAATTAAATTGAAAGTCTCAATATTTAGATGAACCTAACACAATAAAAAGTGATCAATCCCAGCCCAAAAAAAAGTTTAAATAGAACTAGTATTAAGTCTTCACCCAAACCCAATCTAATTCAAACAATTATTGACCTAAATGGGAAAATCCTTTAAAAAAATATATAAATAAATATATAATTTTTTACCCAACCCAAATCTAATTCAAACAAATAATAACCTAAATGTCAAAATCCTTAAACCGCACTGAGCTGTCACATTCCACAAAATGATTGAAATAAGGAGAAAATATTACATCAGTACTACGCACTTAGAGGAACGTGCGTACCCAATGAAATCACGCCACGATATTCCGCGCGACGCAGAAAAAAAACGGCACAGTAACACGGGGAATATTCCTCCCCGTGTTATTCATGTGTTATTCATGTGTTATTGTAATAACACAATAACACATCAATAATATATGAATAACACATGAATAACACACAATAACACATGAATAACACGGGGGAGAATATTTCCCCGTGTGTTACTGCGCCGTTTTTCTCTATCGGGAATATTTCCCGTGTTATTCAAATGAGTTATTGGGTTATTTTTTTTTGATCAATAACACATGAATAACACGCAATAACACATGAATAACACGCAATAACACATGAATAACACGCAATAACACATGAATAACACGCAATAACACATGAATAACGCAGGAGAGAATATTCCCCGTGTTACTGCGCCGTTTTTTTTGCTCTACCGCGCGAGATGTCGTGGCGTGTTTTGATTGGCTACGCACGTTATTTTTACGTGCGTAGTACTGATGTAATATTTGACGTAAGAATTAATCGCATAGTCCACTTTCCAAATTTGACTAATTAAATCCTTATTAACAAGAGACTAAGCAATAAACCAAATGATCATAAAACAATTAGATATTTAACATACAGATATATACTGAAACAAAATCTACTTCACAAAAAGTACCCAAATTTTTCACTGAAACAAAGTGAGAAAATGAATGAAACCATAACATCTCACTAAAAGCTTGGAGTGACTTTTATTCAGAACAATACAAATAAACATCTGGCATAGAATTTCAAGTGATACAGATTCGTTGTTAGGTGCTACAAACTTACAAGTGTACATGGGAGATTGGAGAGAAGGGATAAAACCTCTCCAAGTTAACAGCTGAAACGAGCTTAATCTGCTCCATTAGCATATCTATCTGTTTCTCCTGCTACTTGTGTCCATATCCCCGCAATCTTCTCTGCATATCCAGCCTGCTCCGCAAAAACATGTATCAGCAGCTTATTTAGAAGGGGCGCATACATACCTAACGCCCAATTCCTATGTATTTGCATATCTTAACACCTAGACTTTGTTTTTTACATTTACACCACCCAAATCTTTCATATCATATTAAAAACATCACTATTTTAAATTTTAAAAAGTGAAATACACCTTCTCATGTACAAGAAAGGCGGCATACTTGTAAAAAATGCAGTTTAGGTATTCCATATGTAAATATATAGGAATCAAGTGGTATGTATGTAAACTTCTTAAATATAATTCATATGTTTTTACATATCTAACACCTATAATTTTACATTCACATTTATGATGAATCATCAAGAAATTTTATCATTTAGCATGAATCTCAAGACAATTTTTTGAACAAGAAATATTCCGATTGAAATTAAAGATCATACAAAGCTCCGATTTTAGCAAAGAACATAGTCAAACTGATCATCTCGACAAGATGAACCCACTGATACCAAAATTAATCTAATTTGAATTTAAACGGGCGCAAATGAAGCTATTAAAACCAATTTGGAAGCTTCAAATCATTAATTGAATAAGCAAATGAACTCCAAAATTGACAAACTTATAGTTAAACTGACCGTCTCGATAAGAGTCTAAGCTCCCTTAATTCTGAGATCATTAATGTCCTTAAAACAGAAAAAAAAATACCTTTGATCAAGAGGGATCAATATAAGCCGTCTGATCAGATAGTTGGGAAAGTTATTTGCCAAATGACCAAAACGCCCCTCCTTTAGAGCCTATGAAAAGACTGCCTCTCTTCACTTGAGGGGGGGAGTCAAATTTCAATGATGCTCTGGACAGAAGAACTGCCTATAATTTTCAACCTCAGCAGCTGCTGAACACTATCCACCGATCGCCATCAGCCACCGTCGGCCACCCTCTGCTAGCCACCATTGGCGAATCTATTTACTTACGAAATATCCTAAATATGATGTAACAAAGTATCTCGAATATAGTATAACGAAATATCATGAATGCGGTGTGACAAATAACATTGTGTTGAAGATCCGATGATGACTCCTGGCAGCAACAGCATATGATCGTCATATTTAGAATACGACGACATTATCTGAACTCATGAAGTTTTTCATGTGTAGTATACTGACAAGTACTGTCTCTAGCGTAAAATAACAAACCTGAAAAAAGAGTTGCAGTCATCTACTACAGCATATGTGATCAGTTACTATTGTAGCTTCTCAGGACCAATGTAGCTAACTGCTACTGCTGTTACCAACCATGTTCTATCTGACAAACTATGGACTGTGGTTTAATGTTATTGCAGCTACCAATAACGACTTTTATGGCAAACTGATACTACTGTAGTTATTAATCACGATCTATGTGACCAATTATGGCCCATGTAACTAATTTTTATTGCAGCTACCGACTACGACATATGTAACTAATTGATGTTATTACAACTAACAACTAGGGCCTATATAACTAACTACTACCGCAGCTACCAGCCACGGTCTATTTGACCAACTACGGCCTACGTAACTAAATGTTACTGCAACTACCAACAACAGCCTATGTGACCAACCAGGACATATGTGATTAACTGCTATTGCTGTTACGAACTACGACCTCCATGGGCAACTAACGTTATTGCAGTTACCAACTACGGGTTTCTGTGACCAACTATGGCCTATATAGGTAATTTTCACTGCAGCCATTAACTACACCTTTTGTGACTAATTGATATATTGCAACTACCATTTACAACATATTTGGCCAACTATTATTACAACTTTTCTATTACATCTATGGCCAACTGACGCTATTACGAACACCTACTACGCATTTATGACCAACTACTACTATTGCATCTTCCAACTACGACCTCTATGGCCTATTGTCGTATTGCAAAAATCGAATATGGCTTTTGCAGCGAACCATTGCTATTAGAGCCGAGAACTACCTATGTTTTAGACCAAAAATAGCTATTATTGTTGAATTACTATTGTATGTTCATGATTATCAGCTTTATAATTACATCTTCTCTAATTCAAGAGAAAAATGTACCTATGAACTTATTATAATCATATAGTGGATCACTTTGACGGAAATCGGCCTCAGGATCTTTGTTCCTTTATAGGATTTTTCCACGTAAAAATCCTAGTGTCTCATCCCACTAATTTTAAGTTATTTATATTGGATCTTCATACAACACTAAAGCGTTAAATTATCACTATACTCCCGCAAATCTTCCAGCATGCAATAATTTAGCTCTATCTATAGGAAACGAAGTTCCATTTGGCACATTCATGACGTCTGAGACGCTAAGCCCATTTGGCACAGTCTTGAAGTCTGAGATGCTAAGCCTCTACTCTGTTTCTCAATTATATATATCACCTAGCTGGCAAAGAAATCACATTTACATCTCTTTATGATCATGTGTAGAGAATGGAAGAGCCTCAAAATGAGATCCTCTAACTTACGTATGTGCGACAACTGATAATAGCGCATACCGAAGGGACACAACTACATCAAATGCATTAATTAGAGGTACACAATTATCACCTCCTTCATACGCTAAAGTTCCTCAATAGGAAGTCAGCTTCCTGGACACTAGCTCTACACGTATATCATTTGTAGCCAAGCCTAACAACAAACCTCCAATAGGTGTGGAGAACTTAGCTTGACCACATGTAATCTGTGACTAGTTACGACGTCTAGTGCAAGAAGAATTTCATCAAAGGGATGGAAGTTATTTTTCTTCTCTATGTAATTCTAAAGTTTTCTCCGTTGGCTGAGATCATTCTTCAACGGCCTATTCCAATGGAGTTTCATCTTCTAAGCATTAATAATTATGGAAATATCATACACGAGCTTTTGATATGCTCTTTTGACAAGTTTTCTCTACTACTCTTAAAGGCCAAGCACATGCTTGTTTCTATTCACTCCTAGTAGGAATCATTCATACCTCTGTGAAGCTTGCTAAATTATTTGTGGAGTAATTTTTCACAAATAGAATTGTCAAAGACTCTGCTCACTTTTTTGGGATGCATCAAAATAAAAGTCACTAAGAGATAATTTTTAAAGTATTCATCGATGTGGGGAGCAACATTCACTACAGTCATGAAAAGTTGCTCCTGCACACCTCTGATTGCACCCGCATGCGTACCAACTCATTTCCAAATGCACCACTGCATCCCCGATTGAACTTGACTCGTTTTTTAATCTTATTGCATTCTTAATGCATAATTATGCTATTTTGCTTTATGAACACACATAACCCCGTGCAAACATGATCGCTCAACCAGAAGCTTACTGCTCCACGACCACTATCACCACGGAAATAACATTGTCTGGCCACCACAAATATCTTTAGGCCATAACTTCCCGATCACCAATATTTCTGACAATATGATCTGAACTCCACAAAATAGCCAAACACCTCAAAATACAAATTTTGGGAATATTTATTTTCAAACGAGACAGAAAATAATGTCTGAAAAAAGGGACAACTGATGCATCAATAAATTTTAGCATTTGACATAAAGCTTGAGATAATTTTTTGAACAAGAAAAATTTCAGTTTCAATTAAAGATAATCAAGGGTTTCGATTTTAGAAAATTTATAATCAAAGTAATCGTCTCGACAAAACAAACTCAATGATACCAAAATTGATCCAATCTAAATCTAATCAACTCTCATAACAAGTCAATAAGCTCATTTGGAGGCTTCAAATTATTAATTGAATGAGCAAATGAACTTCAAATTTAATATACTTATAGTCAAATCAAGCATCTTGACAATAAGAATCCAAGGAGCCTAAGCTCTCTTAATTCTAAAGTCATTAAGACCGCCAAATCATCAAAAAAATCTTTATTATCAAGAGGGATCAATATGAGCCGTTGAATCGCATGGTTGGCGAAGATATTTGTCAAAAGGACAAAATGCCCCTTCCCTTGTAGCCTATAAATAGACCTCTTCTCTACACTTAACGGGGAGAGTGTGGAGTCATTTCTAGTGACGTTTGGACCAAAGACTAGGACTTTCATAGACGCCAACGTCGACCACCACATGTCAACCGTCGTTAGCCGCCCACTGCTCATAGCAGTTGGCGAACTCTTTTTGCATACAAAATATGATGAATCTGGTGTAACAAAGTATCACGAATGCAGTGTAACAAAAAATCTTGAACAATGTGTGAAGAATAATGTTGTATTGAGATCCGAAGATGAGCCATGGCAACAACTGCTTATGAACGACATATTCAGAATACGATAACTCATTGAACTTTTGAATTTATACCTAAAAGTGTTGCTCTGGTGTAAAATAATAAATCCGAGAAAATAGTTGTAGCCACTAACCGGTGTAGCACCAACTACGACCGATGCGGTTATTTACTTCTGTGACGTCCCACTACAGTCTATGTAGGTAACTACTCCAGTAATCAACCATGGCATATGTGACCAACTATGATCTATGTGACTAATTACGGTCTGTGGTTAACGGTTATTGAAACTACTAACTATGACCTCAATGGTTAACTAATGTTATTGCAGCCATAAACCACGACTTATGTGACCATCTACAGCATATATGGTTGATTGTTATTGCAGCTACCAACTTCTATTTTTGTGGTCAATTGATGCTATTGCAGCCACCAAATACGACCTATATGATCAACTACGACCTTTATAGTTAATTGCTATTACAGCTACCAACCACGACTTATGTGACCAACTACAGCATATGTGGTTAACTGCTAATGTAGCTACCAACTACAGCATTTGCAACCAAGGCCTATATAGTTAACTGCTACTACAGTTACCAACCATGACCTATGTGACCAAATAAGGCCTATGAGGTTAACTGCTATTGCAGCTACCAACTTCGACATTTTTGGTTAATTAATGTTATTGCAGCTACCAGCTACCGACTGTGGCTTATGTGATCAACTGCGACCTATGTAGCTAGTTGTTACCAACCACTACGACTTATATGG